GGGCATATGCATCAATTGCAACTGTTAGTTAAGAAGAAATAACAATGATGTGAAATAAAAAACTAGGTTATATGTTAGAAAAAGAGTTGAAGGTCCTTCCATAACATAATCTTTTACTCGAACTCATAAGTAAATTTATCTTTTTGTGAGTATTATGTGATAAATTAGCAACATAGATTAAATTTTGTAAATTGATTGTGAGAAGCAACCACATACTAGATTTGATTCACTCAAATGTTTGCGAGTCACCAAAATGTCCCTCGAGGAGCAAAATATTTTGTATCTTTTATTTATGATTATTCTAGGAGATTTTAAGTGTAGTCAATAAAGAAGAAATAGATGTGTTTCCTGTATTCAAGGAGTTCAAAGAACAAATATGACTTGAAAATAGAAAGAAAATTAAGTTATTGAAGACAAAAGTGAAGGAGAATTTGTATATGCTGATTTTTTTAGTATTTTTCAAGAAAAAAGGCATCAAGAAGTAATTCTCGATTCTTCGTATGCTTTAGTAGAATGGTGTAACATAGTAGATAAATAAAACTCTCTTAGAAAAGACAAAGTTTATGTTGAGAACTATAGGGATAGCTAAGTCTTTTTGGATAGAAGCAATAAAAATTTCCTATTAATCACCATCAACTATTATTGATTTAAATTCACCAATGGAGATGTAGAAAGCAAAATTAATAGATTATTATTATCTTCATATGTTTGGATATCTTGTATACGTGATGTATAATTCTTAAGAAAGAACAAAATTGGATCCAAAATTTAAGAAGTGGGGTATATTGATGGTGTTAAGGGATATTACCTATGTGATCCCACTACTCGCAAGGTTATGGTCAACAGATATGTAGTTCTTGCAAAAAAAAATGAATTACAAATTGAGAAGAAAAATGATAGCAATTCTAAAGAAATTACTACAGTACAAATAAATAAGAAACTTAGAGATAATTGTTTTCAAGACCACTAGAGCAATAAGAACCAAATGAGACTAATGAGGTAGAAGCTTGACAAATAAATTGTTAGGCGAGGAAATCATCATGGCACCTTAGACAATATTATGGCAAACCATGATACATACTACCTTTTAATAGAAGTAAGAGAACCATCAAACTTTTGAGATTCATTAAGTAGTTCAAAGTCTTCTCAATGGATGATAGTGATGCAAGAAGAAATGTAAGCCTTACATAAAAACAAGATATGAGAACTTGTTGCACTTCCAAAAGGTTGAATAGCTACCGAAGGTAAATGGTTTACAAGATTAAGTGAGAAAAAAACAATCGAGTGAAATAATATTGTGTAAGATTGATTGTTAAAGGGTATACTCAAAAAGATGGTTTTGATTTCAATGATATATTTTTTCTAGTGGTTAAACTTACCACCATAAGAGTAGTGTTGGCTACATACATTGCATTTGATTTATATCTTGAACAACTAAATGTAAAAAATACTTTACTATATGGAGAACTTGAATACGAGATACATATGCCCAACCACAAGATTTTAAAGAAGAAGAAAAATAATATTAGTTTGTAGGTTATCCAAATCTCTATACATTCTAAAACATATGCCAAAATGTTGGTACAAAATATTTGATTCTTTCATTATTAGCCTTATATGCAATATATTTCATGAAAATAGTTTTATTATTTTGTTGTTGTATGTGGATGACATGTTGGTGGTAGGACCCAACAAAGTTGAAGAATTGAAGGCATACTTGGCTAGGGAGTTTGATATGATGGACTTGGAGCTATCAAACAAGATTTTAGAGATGTAAATTTACTAAGACAAAAAAATAAGAAGATTTAGCTTTTTTTTAAAAATTATCTACAAAAGGTCTTGTGATGCTTCAATATATAAGATTGTGAGTCAATTTCTATTCCACTTCTAGTAAATTATAAACCATCCTCTAGTATGTGTCCAAGTAATGAAAAAAAGATAAAAATGTTTTGAGTACCATATGCATTAATGGTGGGAAGCCTTGTGTATGATATGATATTGCAAATAGTTGGAACGATAAGTTGATTTACGGAAGATCTTGGTAAAGAGCATGGAAATACTATGAAGATGATCCTAAGATATATTAAAAGAACTTCAAGTGTTGCATTATACTTTTGAGGATAAAAATTTTGTCAAAAAACATGTTTATTAAGATTTTATAAATGATCTTGACAAAAGAAAAACTACTATTGACTTTCTATTTACCTTTATAAGAGGAGTAGTAAGTGATAAATGTATAAAATGAGTAATTTGAGATGGTGAATAGAGTACTTTTCATGTTAAAAGTTTAGATTATTTTGTTAAATTTCTCCTAAACTTGAAACTTTTACAATTACTTGTATATTTCAGGAAAAGAATGCAATTGTAAGTGTTTGATTCCTTTATGATCTATATTGTAGTTTGAATCAAAAGAGAAACATCACTCAAAGTTGAAGAAAATTAGAAAAGTAAGAAAAAGAGCATATAAAGCATGAAGTTGCAGAAAAAGTTAGTTTCTAGAGGTTTCTTGCTGCAACAAGAATGCTTAAAGTTATAAAGATGATTTTGTACCTCTATCGCTACAACGAGAATGTTTCGTTGTAATGAGAAATCTTTGTGTTATTGTAGCAAGACTTACCGCTGTAGCAAGAGACAAACAGAATGACTTAATTTTTATCTCTATGTTTCGTTATAGCGAGAGAGTGTCGTTGTAGCGAGAGAAGCTTCATCCAAACCAGTATAAAACACAACTTTTGAGTTGCTCAAGGGTTACTATTCCATTTCATGATTTTAGAGAGAGAGAGAGAGCGGTGGAGGGCAGAGAAAGGAATAGTCAAGTTTTGATGTTCTACACCGTTTGTATCTCATTTCTTGTTATTATGGTTGTAATGAGCATCTAAAATTTGTATGAGATTGAATGTAAGTCTTCAAACTTGATGTATTCTTAATAATTTATATAAATATAGTTGTTTCTTCTTCATTTCTATTGATTTGGTAATTTCAATCCGTATTAATGTTTGAATCTGTCTATTTGATAGTTTCTTAAGCTCAGATCTAAATTATATTTAGAAAAGTATTACTTAGATCTAGATCTGATTGAGATTACTCAATAACTGGTTATTCTAGGAATAGATTTCAAGTTGTTAATTGCATTTAAATCCTGATTTTAATGTTGGATAATTTGTTAACTGTTTGAGGAGTCAACATTTAAGAAACCATTTTAAAAATATATTTTCAAGGAATTGAAATATATGATTTCTGTATTTTGCATCAAGTTCACTGGAAATGATTGTTATATTTATTACTGAATTACTAGAGTACAGAGAGGGAGATAGATGAAATTCAATCTCAGTTTCTTTAATTTGAATTTTACTATATTTTACATTATAATTGTTACTCAAAATTTTATGAAAATCATCAATCAATTCTATTGTATATAAGCTCAACTAATTTTTATCTTAACAATTAATACATTTTGAATTGCTCTCTGAAGACGATATTGAAATGTATTTTTTCTATTTCATATTAATATTGGATGATCTAAATGAAATAATGAAAAAAAAAAATGAGCATGTTGATTATATTAAAAATAAGGAGCAACAATCATTTTCGTTTATCATGAGTAAGGACACCATCGCTGACATAATAACCTATATACGAAATGCTGATATGAATAGAAAAAAAATGGTTCAAATATCATTTACTAACATCACCGAAAACAATGTGAAAATACTTTTATGAGAGGGTTTTGTTGAAAACGTCAAAAAACATAGGGAAAGCGACAAATGTGATACTTTATTGATTATTACTTGCAACATACTCGATACACTTACCGTATTTTAAGGAAAAGATCCAACAGTAAGTAGTTATCTATTGTAGCTTTATTTACTACAAAAATTGAATAGATGGTAGCTACTTAAGCATGCAAAGAAGTAATTTGAATTCAAAAGTTATTGAAAAAACTCGCACAAAAGCAACAATAGATTACTACATATTGTGGTAATCAAAGTGGGCCGTATATTGTGAGGAATCTTCTAACCTTTCATTACAAGGTAAGAGAATGAAGTGTTGATATACCAAAGATGCATACTAAAGAGAACCTAACATGTGACATGAAGAAGCCAATCAACATTGAGCAGTTTATATGGTCTAAAACTTGTTTGACCTATAAAAAAAACATAAGCAATATAAAGGTGACAAGATTTTGATGACTAAATTGACTTTAAGTGGGAGATTGTAAAATATGTAAAGCGACTGTTGTGGCATTTGAATAAGTTAAAGAAAATAAAAATAAAATGACATATTTCTTGTTTTGTTAGTACCATAATGGTTGAAAAAAAGAGAAAGCAAAGTAATACTATTTTTATAGAAGCATTAAAGATCAAAGGACTTACTTGTATAAGTACAAATATTTTTGTTAATTTTATAATATCAGAGTAAAAAATATTATTATCTCCTTATAATTAAAGAAATAAAATAATATTCTTCCACTCAATAAAAGTTTCATTTTTAATTTTCTCATTTAGTTACGTAATGTTATTTTCATAATTCTAGTGTCTAACAAAGTTAACAAAACTAGACAATGATACCAATTTTTTTTTTTTTTTTTTATCAAAGATTAAAGTTTTTATAATACATTCAAAATAATAGATGTACTCAAAATACTTATATTTAAAATAGAAAGTCATGACAGAAAAATAATAAATCTTGGAGTAAATGGAGAGACAAAAATGAAATGTCATACGAATGAAGAGTGAAATTTCAAAAAAGAAGAAGACTAATTCAGAATTTGAAAAAAAAAAATAAAATTCAGTAAATCAACTTGTTCATTAAAAAAAAATATACAAAAAAAGTGCAAATGACGACCCCAAGTTCATTTTTGGTTTTGGGTAGTGCCTTGAGTCCACATTCAAAGTACGAGATTTTACTGAGGCCCACTCGCGTAAGTTCTTGTACTGAAGCTTTAGCCCACTCTTACATGACGTGAGTCTTATTTTGAAGAGTGGCGCTTACAGTCTTGCATACTCACGTTACTTATACACTAAACCGACCCTCTTCCTTCTCTGTCTCGTAACCGACCTTTTCCTCCGGTGAGTCTCCGGCGGCTATCAGACAATGCCGGTCTTCCTCTCTTCTTCCTGTTTCCTGTTCTTTCTAATGATACTTTTAACCTAAAAAAATACTCAGATATTTTTCTTTAACCAAAACACTTTGGAGACATACTCTCTACTTCTCTGTTTTGTTGCAATCATACTTTCTTCCTTTTTTTGTTTTCACTAATTCTGTTTTATTATTATCATTAGGGCTTATAAAAATTTAGAAAAATAGCTTTCGACTCCCTCGTTTGATCTTTTTAACTTATTTCAACAGGTGTTTTGGTATGAATGATAAAAATAAGGGTTTTCTAGTTTTTTTTTTTTTTTTAATAAGTTTTATGATAACTTTATGTTATAAGCCCTCGTGTGATAAGAGTTATAAGTGCTTAATTAATTTTGTTTATCCAAACGCATCCATTATTATATACATCTAGCGTGATATATGTCCTTGTGCCATATGCAATTGGTATACTTGTAAATTGCATGCAAGTTTTCTTCCTTTTGGGTTTTAATGTTGCATTTTGTTTCCATTTAAGCAGATTATCTGTTGAAGAGAGAATGATCATATTAGGAGTACCATATGGTGTTGAAATTCTGCGTTGATTAGTTACGCGTTTGTTGATGGATATGTGGTTTCTTACCTCAATGATAGATTAAAATTTGAAGGATGTCACTTGGTATTCTAATTGCTGTTTTAGGTCAGCCTCAATAATTTTCTTATATTAGGTCTCTTGATTTTCTAATTTGCAATGCAGCTTAGAATCGTTGATGTATGTGACGGAACATTGACCAAAGGATTGGTAGAATTTGAGAGTATGGAGTCTTCTAGCTTGACAGTATGTTTGACTCCTTTTAATTCCATGTTGTCTTTTTATCTGTGGATCATCAAAGCTCTACGATGTGAATTGTGATCTTTTAAGTTTATTGAGTGTGTTTCAGTTAAAATTCACTATCGTAGATTTGATAGTATCAATCTATTATGGCTTCAGTACAGATTGATGAGTTGAATTCAGTTGCAAACGAGAATGAAAAAAATCCAACTGTATTACCAATCTATGCCCACATACTCCAGAGACTAACACAAAATATCATACCAGAACACTATGGCCATGCTTTAGTAATGATCAGATTCATAGATATTCTATTTATGACTGAATGCACCCAGAAAGAGTACCAGATCCCTTAGAAATGAGCCATTTGGTAAAATAAGAAATTTTCTACTGTGTGCGCATCTTCATGAACTGAGTAGTTGTTATCCCTCATTATCTCATTCCTACAAGAATACTCCTGAGTCCTGAGTTGAGCAGCAGCCTTTACAAATGCATGGTCAATTAGAACCTTTAACTTTCATATAGCACTTATCCCATGTGAAACCAACCTGTCTCAATCTTTTTAACTTTCATAAATGGGCATCTGAAATTAATTCCAGACAACAGTGTCTTTTGTTTACATACAACATGGTGCTGATTAAAAACTTCTAGAAGAGCCATCAACTAACACAACTTCCAATTCTTTTTTTCGGTTCTTTTGGTTAGTTGGCAAAAGCATCAAATGGTCTGTTTGAGAACCACAAAGAAGATTTTCCTGCTGATGTACCGGAAAGTATTGGTAGGTGCTTGTATTACTTTCACACTCTAGTGTGCTAGATTTCATCTGTTTACATTTATTCATTCCAAATTTTCTCAAAAATGCTTTTAGGGGCTGATGGTGAGCACAAGGTGACTAATGATGGTGAACACAAGGCGACTAATGATGGTGAATATAATGAGTCACATAGAGAGGATGAATCAGAAAATTTCTCTGATATCGATGATCAGGAAGTTGATGGGTACCTTCACAATGAGGAGGAGAAGAATTTCAAGAAGATAATATGGGAAAAATTGAATCGAGAGTATCTAGAGGTACAGAGAAACTTATTACTATTTTCTTGTTTTAATAGTGCTAGATAAAGTCTGTTAGCTTTTTTCCCTTTCTATCATGATTTAAAATTCATACTGAGAATTGAGTGCTTTTGCATATACTTTTTGTTTCTCCCTGTTTTGCTATTTAAATTTAGGCTTATTTGGAAGATAAATGTGCAGTGAAGCTCACTTAAGCTTTGCCATTTCTTTCAGGAACAAGCAGTCAAGGAAACTGTGGCTGCTAAGAGATCTTTTGAGGCAAAATCCAGAACGGTACTGTTTGAATAACTTTCAGTGGGGTTGTTTGTGTGAAATTATATCATGCATAACTTAATGGTTCAAGTGTTTCAAGTCTTTATAGTGGTATCAATGGATCATTATTATAAATTTATGACTAGTGCTAGAATGTTGCTCATGTTTTACTAACATGGGCTTTTATTTGGATTGAGTGGTTATGAAATATGAATTTGGGACTTCAAGACTAGTGCATGCAGGAAGTGTGACAACTGAAAAAGCAGTTTGCCAAAGCTTCAATCCAATGAATTAGGGACACTGCTATGGTGGTACACTGGAGAAGAAATTGCATATTGATTATACGTGTGAATTTTTCAATCAAGTATCAGTGGTGAATCAATGCTTTCCAATATTGGTTTACATTTACAGTTAAAGGCAGACCACATGAGAATCATGAGAAAAACACACACACCACAGAAACTAGTCATTATAGTTAAAGAGGTCAGGGCTTTATAAACGCTACAGAAGAATCCCACATTTCCAATGTAGAACTCAAGTCTCATACTTTGCAATTGGATCTTAACATTTCAACATGATTTGTAGCACGGGCGTCCCTGTGAGTTGGTTGTGCATTAGCCTGTTGGCTAGTCTTAGGCAAACATTGGAATGTTGGCCACACTACAAGCGTTGCTTGTTTGCAGTTGACAAACATGATGGAAGGGTCTAATACCAATTGATAAGTGTTGGAGATCCAATAGAGTCAATGGGCCCAAGTGCTAATTTGGTGCAGCAAAAATCAAATAGGCCAACCGTTTGGAGGGTATATGTGAGAAGGAATAAGAAGAATAGGGATTGATGATGTGGCAGGAGGTGTAGTGTGTTGGTGTGGGCCTAGGGTAGTTTTAAGTGATTTTTTGTGATGGAATGTGGAGAGAGGGTATATGTGAGAAGGAATAAGAAGAATAGGGATTGATGATGTGGCAGGAGGTGTAGTGTGTTGTTGTGGGCCCAGGGTAGTTTTGAGTGATTTTTTGTGATGGAGTGAGGAGAGAGGGTATCTGGGAAAGATTATGGAATTCGTTAGAGATAGAGAGTTATAGCTCTCTGTTAGGAGCCTTGTTCTGTGGACAGGAAAATCATTCCTGTATTTTCCAGGTCATTCAATAATACAAGAAGGATTTCTCTTTCAAATATTTTGCAATTGTTCCTTTATCTCTAAACGAATTCACATAAATAAGAACCTTAAGAGAATCACACCCTGAAAGCTAGTCATTGTAATTGGAGAGCCTAAGTCTTCATAAATCTCACACTAGAATTTTATACTTTTAATGTTGGACTCAAGTTCCTTACCTTGCAATCAGATCCTAACATATGTTAGATGTATAATTATAGTGTAATTTTTTGAATGGAAGCCATTTTGAATATTGAAACTGATCAAATTATTGAAATTTGAAGAAATCCCTTGCTTGACATTTTAGAGTATTACTATTTGTGTTTAAAAGTGGATAGTGAAATGGAAGCCTGAGATGCATAGGAAAATTTAAAGGAGTTTCTCTAGGAAGTTGATGAATTTTGTAGATGAATTTTGTAGATGAATTGAATTGAAATTCTGATGAACGTGATATTCTTTTATCTGAATTATTTTCAATTGATGGTATTCCTTGGTGTACATTTCAACGGGTTTGCTTTCATTGAGTGGGTCCAAATAGTTATGTGTGGATTTTTGTCTAAATAGTATCATTAATGCTGCAGAAACTACTGCAAAATTTCAAGCTTATAATTCTTTTGGTTTATTAAACACTACGCAGGAAATGAAACCAAAACGTTCTCGCCAGGTGATAAAATCAGGGCCTGCTCAATCTGCTGCAGAGGAAACTCACCAAATGTTGGGAACAAAGGTAATTTTTTCAATAACGAACGTGCATTTTCTTTAGTATTGTTGTAGGCCCATATCATTGTATATTTGTAACATGTTCTGTATATTTTGTTTGGTTGTACCATGTATGTATTATTCAGATCCTTAGTTTCCTTATTCAGGATATTTTAACAGTAATGAAGTCTATATATTTACATTATATACAGTCTTTTGAATTGATGAGTAAATTTATTTTTCCCTCTATTTTCAAGTTGGTATTAGAGTTTTGGATTTGGGAAACTCTGCTTATGTGGAAAAGGAAACCCTGACATGTTCCATGTTTTTCTCTGTCATTTTCTTTACTGGTCTGTCATCATCTCCTTGCATAAATGAAGGGAATAGATAAAATAGAATTCTGATTCAGTTTTATTGCATTGAAGATGGCTGGAGAGGTATTATAGAAGTGAAAGAAAGAACCCAGTGCCTAATCTCCTGAGAGAGAATATTCTGTGCCCAGCAAATTACCTAACAAACTATGATTTCCCATAACAGTCCCCCTATTCTCCATCAGCTTACTAATTTCCACGTCAGCTAAATAACTCTCCACAAGGCCCTTCTTATTATTTCTAGAATAAATCCCCCATATTGTGGGCCTTTTCTGTTTCTGACCCAGTATCTGGGAATCTACTTCCTTATTAGCTCATGTACTACAGTTCTGTCAATCTGCTTCCTGTTGTGGGTGTTATTGATAGTTTCTAAAGCTTTCCACTTTCGGTATATGCCAAATGGAAAATCTGTAGTTGGCTAGATGAAAATTTAAATGCATTACTCATCTTTGAATCAATCATGCTTGTGTGTGTGTGTATATGTGTTTGTGTGGAGTCTGAAAATCAGTATAAAACCTCATGGACCGAGGGATTTTGTTAATGCTAAAATACTGGGTTATTATCTGTATATTTATAATTGTTGATGGAAAAGAGTAACAAGAATAGGATGAATTTGCATGTCTTATTCACACACCAGAGTGTCTTATTCATTAGGCTTAAATATGTTTTTAGTTTTCATATTTTAGCAAATTTTTGGTTTTAGTCCCTTCAAATGAATTCACTTTTGTTTAAATCCCTACTTTTTAAAAAGCATGTTTTTTAGTCCCTAATGCTGATCTGGTCCATTGAGATATTATCATTTGTCAATTTTTGGTTTGACCACATTAGCATTAGGGCTTCGAACAAAATTTATAAAAAATAGGAACTAAATAAAAAAAAATGGTTTGAAGGGACTAAAACAAAAAATTAGCTAAAATGTGAAGACTAAAATCATATTTAAGCCTATTTATTATGAGTGTTATAACTCATAATTACAAAAAATAATCATTATCCTAATTACTGTGATTACACAAGATACATATAAATATAATCACATAATATCTTATTTTAAAAAATTTCCTATTTACAATATTTCTTGCACTCTCCCTGGAGCTGGAGCATTTGTCATATACACTATAAGCTTATTATATATACATCTAATTAAAAGACCTCTTATACTTTGTGAACAGTAAGTTGATCATTTAAGTTCACAAAGTGAATAATAGTATTAGTATCTTCTCCCTGATGAAATCACAATCTATATCTTAATTTTTGAAGCTATCGATTGAGCCAAATAAGTTCAAAGTTAGCAAAAGTTATGGCTTGATATTCTGCTTCAGCATTTGATCTTGCAACAACATTTTGTTTCTTGCCTTTTCAAGATATCAAGTTATCATCGATATTGATTCAATATCTAGAAGTGGATATTCGATTAGTAGAACCTGCCCCAAATTCCAATCACTGCATTCCAATATCTTTCATCCGGTGAATTGGGAAATTGACTAACTATTTTAGCATAAGAGATATTTGGACAAGAGTAAGGTAATTCAATTTTCCAACTAATCTATACTTCTTTAGGTCTGAAAGTAGCTCCTCTTGATCTGGTCAGAGTACATTTGGATTCATAGGTGTTTCTACAAGCTTTAAACTGTTTCCTATAGAATGTCCGTAGTAAACTTCTCATGAGAAATCACAATACCACTTTTAGATTGATTCACCTAAATTTTCAAGTATCAAAGTTTACCAAGGTAGTTTGTCTAAAAATGATGGTAGAAAAGTTGCTTTACTTGAGTGATGCCATGGTAATCACTGTCAGTGATAATTATATTGTCCAAATACAACAAAGTAAATACACCATGCAATGGAATGGTGATAAAAAAGAGTGATTTGCTTCACTCTAAATGATGCCAAATTGTTGAATTTACAAAACCAAGTCCTTAGTGATTGATTGAGACCGTATAAGGATTTGTGACATGAAAAACTAGTCATAAAGATTTCCCTTGAGCAACAAATCTAGGAAATTGTTTCATATGAACTTTTTTTGTTGAGATCACCACGATGAAAAATTTGTTATTAAGCTGGAACAGAGAGACTGATGTCGAATTGCAACAATGGATAAAAATAATTTAACAAAAGATGTTTTAACCATAGGAGAGAGTGTCACCACAATATAGGTCAAATATTTGTGTGTATCCTTTAACTACCAAACCAAGCCTTGGGGTTGTTAACTGATAAGTACTGAACAAAGAATAGAATTTTTATTAAGTCTTCTCTGAATATTCTCTGGAATTTCGAGAGTTCCAACCTCTCCTTACAACATCTAATTTCTCCCAAGATACCTTCCCTCCCTTTCTAACTAACCATTTATAGTACATGAAACAAAAATACCGTTATACCAATACAGTTATGTTTGACAAATTCAAATCCACGGCTGCTGTCTTATTCTTAGGCTTCCTCTGATAGACCTTCACTAACGGTGGCTTACGCCTATCAATACCTGGCACCAAAAGATTCACCTTGTCCTCAAGGTGGAAAGAAGGAAATGCCTCTTGCATCCTTGCTGCAGATTCCCAGCTGTTCTCACAAGCAGGAAGGCCTTGCCATTGTACCAAAACTTCCACATCACCCGCAGTAGCTTCTCTAACCTCCAAAACTTCTTCTGGAGAAACTCGTAATTCCTGATCTTCAGACAACATTTACGGAAGTGGCTGTGACTGAACTAACGGACCCACCATTTTTTTTTAACAAAGAAACATGAAACACCGGATGAATCCTGCTAGTTGGAGGCAATTCCAGCTTGTATGCCACCTCTCCTATTTTAGACAACACCTTGAATGGTCCATAAAATCGAGGACTCAATTTTTCATTCACTCTCTTAGCCAAAGACCTTCGTCGATAAGGTTGAAGTTTCAAAAATACCCAATCACCCTCCTGCAGCTCCACATTTCTCCTATGTTTATTAGCATGTACCCGCATCACATCTTGGGCTTTAAGAAGATTTTCCCTTAAGTCTCCCAACAGCTCATCACGGCTTTGCAGCACCTGATTCACTTCTTCCATTCGAGAGGGAATCACAGCCCCTCTTAAAAGCGTAGGAGGGTCAATCCCATATAAGGCCCGAAAGGGAGTCATCTTGCTAGATGCATTATAGTTAGTGTTGAACCAAAATTCTGCCTAAGCCAAACACAAACTCCAGTTTTTGGGTCTTGTCCCCGTTAAACACCTCAAGTAAACTTCCACACTTCTATTAACCACTTCCGTTTGACCATTCGATTGTGGGTGGTAGGCGGAGCTGAATTTCAGCTGGGTACCCACTGCCTGGAACAAATTTCTCCAAAAATTACTCATAAAAACCATATCCCTATCCGTGACAATAGAACTCGGGAAACCGTGTAACTTCACAATTTCTTGTACAAAAATGGCTGCCACATCTCCAGCAGTGTAGGGATGACTCAGCGGCAAGAAATGGGCGTACTTCGATAGTCTAACCACCACGACTAGAATTGTGTCCTTCCCTTTGGATTTTGGCAGCCCCCCTACGAAATCCATGGATATATCTTTCCATACCACTGTGGGGATTGGCAATGGTCGTAACAATCCAGCTGGGGTTAGCATAGAATACTTATTTCTCTGACACACATCACAGGCAGCCACAAACTCCTTTATATCACTTCTCATACCTTCCCAATAAACTACATTGGCAATTTGCTTGAATGTTCTAAAATAACCAGAGTGCCCTCCAATCAACGAAGAGTGAAATTCCTTTAAAATAATGGGAATTTTTGCAGAAGATTTAGGCAACACCAAACTGTAAGAACAGTTTCTGATCTTTCAGAACATACCCTTCGTGAGAAGCTGGGTTCAGCAGTAAGTCCTGTATGATTCCCTTCAACTTAGTATCTTGTTGAATCTCCTCTAGCCATTCCTCCAAATCAGACATCTTTATAACCGAGATTGAAAAATAAGATCTCCGGCGTGACATAGCATCAGCTGCTGTGTTATCTTTGCTTGGTTTATACTGCACTTCAAAATCATACCCAAATAACTTCGAAATCCAACGGAACTGTTCTTCTGCCCACAATCATTGCTTAGTGAGAAATTTCAAACTTTTTTGGTCAGTCCTTATAATGAAATGACTTCCCAGCAAATAATGTCGCCACTTTTGCACAGCTTTAACTACTGCCATCAACTCCCTCTCATACACAGACTTTTTTTGATTTCTTTCTGACAGGGCAGTGCTCCAAAAAGCAAGTGGCTTCCCATCTTGAAGCAAAACCGCACCCAAACCTGTTCCTGAAGCATCCGTTTCTAAAACAAATGTTTTAGAAAAATCTGGAACAGCCAACGTGGGCAGTAAGGTCATGGTTTGCTTGAGTCTATTAAACGCCACTTGAGCTTCCTCACTCCACAAAAAACTATCCTTCTTTAATAGCTGAGTCAATGGTCTAGCAATGAGACCATATTGCTGCACAAAACGCCTATAGTATCCCGTTAAACCTAAAAATCCCTGCAAGCTCTTCACATCTTTAGGCTGGGGCCAAAGCCACATAGATTCTATTTTGTTTGGATCAGGCGCTGCAGTGCCCGCTGAAATAATATGGCCCAAGTATTCCAAAGTTGCTTTGTCAATAATGCATTTTTTTCCATTCACCGTTAACTCATTTTGCTGTAGAATTTTCAATATTGTAGCCAAATGTTATGCATGCTCCTCGACATTCCTGCTATAGATTAGAATATCATCGAAAAATACCAACACATACTTCCTCAATAATGGTCTCAGCACTTCATTCATCAAAGCTTGAAAGGTTGATGGAGCATTTGTGAGCCCAAAAGGCATGACTACAAACTCATAGTGCCCCTCATGAGTTCTAAAGGCTGTCTTTTCAATATCCTCCTTTCTCATTCTGATTTGGTGATAACCGGATCTTAAATCCAGCTTTGAAAAAATTTCTGCATTACCCAATTCATCCAACAATTCATCAATAACGGGAATAGGGAATTTATTAGGTATAGTCACCTTGTTAAGGGCCCTATAGTCCACACAAAACCTCCAACTTCCATCTTTTTTTTTCACCAAAATAATAGGACTAGCATAGGGACTCAAACTCGGTCTAATAATTCCAGCTACTAGCATCTTACCAACCATCTTCTCAATTTCAGTCTTTTGGTAATGAGGGTACCTATAGGGCCGGATGTTGGGAATAACAGCTCCCTCCTTAAGATGTATGGCATGATCCTGATTCCTTGTCGGAGGTAATGTCTTTGGAACCTCGAACAGCACAGCATATTGATGTAAAACTGCAGTTAACTCTGGAGGTAACTCTGCTGTAGGTTCCACAAACTGCTGAATCAACCGACACTCCAACAAAAAACCTTCCCCTTCTTGCTGTATAGTCTTAATCATGGAGTTCAGTGAAGTGTTGCGTTTAGTTAATTCCGGTTCCCCCTTCAAGGTGAACAGCTGCCCTTCCACCTTTATTTTAAATGTTAATTGTTCAAAATTTGCTCTGATTTCTCCTAACCCAGCCAACCATTCCAGCCCCAAAACCATCTCTACTCCCCCTAATTCAAACAAATAAAAGTCTTGTTTGTTAGGTACCCCTTGTATCGTCATGGCAACCTTAGCACATTTACCTTTACACCGAACCTTATGCCCATCACCAACCTCTACCACATAGGAAGGTGTATTTTGAATGGGTAAATGAGCTCTACGAACCAATTCATAGGAAATGAAATTATGGGTAGCCCCACAGTCAATTAATACTATCACTCTCTCCTGACCCAGCTCACCCCACACCTTAAGGGATCTCTTGGAGGTGAATCTAGCAATACTATTCAAAGATAATTGTTTGAACTCTGCCCCTTTCTCCTCACCTTCTGAATTGTCCTCCTCACTCCCATTCATACCCTCCTTCTCCTCTAACAACATCACTCTTAATTGTTTATTTTTACAGATGTGATTTGGCCCATATTTTTCATCACACCTAAAACACTCCTCCTTTCTTATTTTTTCCTGCATTTCCACATTAGACAGCCTTTTGAAATCACTTCCCCGTCTTCTTAATCTTGACCCACTTCCATTACTACCAGCCGACGATGCAGCTGAAACAACTTCAGCATTTGTTCCTCCCACTCCCCGATTCTGCCGTGTATCCACCGTCACCGTACGGGAGAAAGAGGACGGTCTATATTGGCTCCCCTGCTTCCCTACGGCTCCCACTCCATTCTTCATCACTGCTGCATTCTTTTAATCGATCATCAAAGTTTTCTTCATCATTGATGTCAGATCCAGAGGTTCATACAATTTCACTTCTGCTCCAATTTCTTCCTTCAAGCCATTGACAAATATATCCATCAAATGTTCCTCTCCGACCCCCTTCAGCATCCCTGCAAACTTCTCGAATTGAGAAACGAATTCCTCTACTGTACCTTCTTGCCTTAAAGCCAATAGAGCCGCGAAAGAGCTATGTACCATGGCAGGCTGAAATCTACCTGTAATAGCTTCTTTAAACTCTTCCCAATTTTGGTGTGGATGACATGACTCCCACCATTGAAACCAACTTAGAGCTTTACTTTCAAGAGCTACCATTATCGCCTGAAGTTTCTCACCCTCCTCGGCCCCTTGCAAACGGAAATAGCGTTCCAATTTATTAACTCACCCAAACACATCTTCTTCTCCTTCATACACCGGAATTTTCATCTTTTTCCTTCGTTCACTCGCTCTGACAGGTCGCCCCCCTCCTGCTGCGTCCGACCGAGTGTCATCTTCTGCTCGTCGCGCTGTTTCTTCCTCCATCTGACACGCTGCCTCATTTCTCACTTTTTTTCCAGAACGATGAACCAAGGATTCCACCAACGCCTCCAGTCATCGAAATCGTTCTTCTTCTCGATTCCGATCCTCTTCACGCTCGCGATTCCAAGCTTCCATATATTGCTCCAATCGTTCGATTCCTGACTCCATTCTTGTAGTTCTTTTGCTCATATACGATACCGATACCACAGCTCCCGGATGGAGCTCTGATACCAAATTGATAAGTACTGAACAAAGAATAGAATTTTTATTAAGTCTTCTCTGAATATTCTCTGGAATTTCGAGAGTTCCAGCCTCTCCTTACAACATCTAATTTCTCCCAAGATACCTTCCCTCCCTTTCTAACTAACCATTTATAGTATATGAAACAAAAATACCGTTATACCAATACAGTTATGTTTGACAAATTCAAATCCACGGCTGCTGTCCTATTCTTAGGCTTCCTCTGATAGACCTTCACTAACGGTGGCTTACGCCTATCATTAACCTTGCCAACAAGACCCACCTCTAGGTTGTAAATCTACCTGTAATTAATAAAAGATTTTCCTGAAGGAAGAGAAACCATGTTCCAAGTACTAGTGTTTCGAGGTGCATGTCTCCAATTAGGGCGAGCTAAGGCATTACCTATAGACTTAGCAATAAACACAAATGACAAAGAAGGGAGAGAGAAGAGTAATATGAAGAAGAAAATTTGTGATAACATAAGGTAACATAATGAGGAGAGAGATTACAAATGAAATGCATACTTTTACAAAGTGTTATAGGAAGATCATTGTCGGAAGGAGGCAAAGTTGTTGACTTTGGAGGCAAGTCAAAAGTGAGCCCATTACTTCCCAGCAGTATAAGAAAAGGATGTGGATGATGATGGTACACCTAAAAAGGATGCTAAGTTGGAAACATGTAATGAATAGGGATAAGAGGGAAGGATTCAAATATGGACTTAAACTCATTATTAGTTGATTTGATGGTGATGCAAAGAAGGAAAATAGACCAATGTTATCAATGTCATGGCAGAAAGCCAAAAAATTGCCATAAAGTTATGGCGGATGCTATGACAGGTTATGGCAGAAGTACGACAGATATAATAAAATATATGGAAATATTACTGGTCATGGAAAATGATAGAAATCCATTAACTCAAAGCATAAGTAGTATAAATCTAAATTCAAAGCATAATTCAATACAAAATAAATAGTTATCAAATGTCTAAGTTAACAAAACAAAGTGATGGAAAATAATAAAAACATGTAGATTAATTATCTAGTTCTCCTCTTCAACTCTAATGTAGTAATCATCTTTTTCATCCACCAAGGCATATCTCCCCTCCTCTTCTCCCTCAGGTTCTTGAAAATTAATTTTCAATTCATCTACTATTTCTTCCGACATGTTTTCATCTTTTAATTCTTTATTATCATCATCATCATCATCTTTAATTACCATTTTTTCTTTCCCATTTTCTGTTAAACATATCTTGATCTTGGAAACTTTTGCAGTAATACCACTTGATGGATTCTTTCGTTTCTTAGAATGACATCTAATATATGTTCTAGGCTTTCCAATTCCAGAAGCTTCAAAAACAGCTGCCCAATTTAAAGTGTTATCATCATAAAAAGTTAAGTCCTTTTGTGCATCATCATTCATCTCTCCAACCAACTACTCATTACAGTCATCAATGTTATTGAATATAATTAAATCAATTACATCTTTAAGATTATAACATTGTTTAAATTGTTCGTTATATTTCACATAAACCAAGTCATGTAACTTTTTGTGGTCAAGTTTATTCCTCTTCGTTGAATGAATGAAATGTGTAACCTGTATCCAAACAGTCTATTCCTCTTCTTTGAAGTACAGAACTGAAGGCCTGTATCCAAACAGACTCACATTTCATGAGGGTGAGATATAGCATCAGTCTTGTTACAGGGGCAGTGATGGACTCCTCTCCTTTGCAGTATATAATGATCAACATAAGCTTAATCTTTCAGCCAAAATTTGACGTTGTAGGGATAAAAATGTATTTTAATTTAAAAACTAAGAAGGAAAGAATTCTTGTGAAAAGCATTGGAAAATGCGAGGTCTTTCTAAACATTGAGTACTCTAGGAGCCAATAGATGCTTTGACCTTGGATTTTTGTGCACACTATGCATTTGGGGTTTAGGCTTCTTCTTTGTTGCCTTATTTTAGATAGGGATGAGGTAGGTGACATCCGTAAATTATCTGATTTGTGTTTTATTATATATGCTCAGCTGTGTTGGTCAAGGCCTTGGACAATATATGATTCATGTTAGTTATTTTACCTTCAGAAATTGTTTATACTATTACTAACAATACTTGTTTAATTGTATTATTTGCAGAGGCTCAGCTCCAAAATCAATTATGATCGCCTGTTTCAATTATTTAGTGAACCGGTAGTTCACTCTTGAACTGTTTTCCTTTTTACTGTGTAAAATTGTATACACTTTGAGAAAATTGTTTGTTTGATAGAAAGATGAAATGTCCAACCTGCATCTTTTCTGAGTCATTTGCATATGGTCATCCTTTGAATATCAATTCTTTAAGATACTTTAGGTGATCAATCGATAATCTTGTTACTTAACTAACTGTTCGTTCTTGTGTTGAAACTGAAAGTTTCATTGACATTGGAAGCTGTTTGGCACCTTTGCATCATGTCAGCTTGATTAATCTATTTTTTTCCTTCTAATTTGTTTTATCTGTTAAATGAATGAAATGTGTTTCTTTCTTTATTTCATCTCTTTGGTTAAATTTTGGAAGTTGTGGTCTGAACCTTGTTTTGATATATGCACTTCAGCCTATATGGTGGTAAATAGGTTTTATAAGATTTCTAAGTTGCTACAGCTATTACATGAATTTGCTTATGTGACCCTGAGTTCTCTTTGTTGCTTTATTGTGTAGTTTAACATTTCTTTTGTGTAATTACTAGTTGTAGCTCCATGCTCCACGTTTAAAAGACAAAATTTGAAAGATAGTTTATGACGATTATTCTGTAAATCAAGACATTGGAAAATACTGCCTTTTATTCTATTTAAACGTTCTTCAATATTATCCTACACAGGCAGAAGCGGATAATCTCAAGAAAACGAAGACAGCACAATGTGATCTACCCTCCGATAATCGTACCCCTTTTCAGTGCAATTTTGAGGACAAAAATGATGACGAGATGGGATCAGGGGATGAATTTGAAGATGAAGGTGATATTGGGGAGATGTATGAAAATGCATGGCGTCCTGAAAATATGGATGGAAGCTATTTCCCTGAGGATGATGGTTACAACTATAATGATGATGATTACTGAAAAGTTTCTATTTGCCTTTATGCTGTAATTATCTTCGATTATTTTGCAATCCTTATTCAACATGACTGGCAGCTGGGGAACCATAGAGGTATAGGCCAACATTTCAACAATTATAAATTGAGTATTTATGCTGGGTCGTATGCCTAGAACTTTCTGCTACCATACTTCCTAATCTATTATTGCTTTATGCCTCTCTCTTTTAATCAGTGGAATTACAGAGGGTAAGGCCAGAAATCTTACACTTTTCATACTAAATTTGTCATTTTTATCGAGTTATAAAAGAAGTGAAAATATTCTGTGATGAAGGTTTGTTCCCAATATATTTTCCATTGTATTTACATTCACGATTGTGGTTAAACAGAGTAAGAGAAAATTTTCACTTCAGAAAATTTGGATAAAGCTCTTTATGGATTTCTATTGCTATTTTTCGTTTTTGTTTTTCAATAGAAGCATAATATTATGAGTATCTTTTAGTTATATTCTTCTTTTTAAGGTTTTTATAGCCCATGTGTTACAAATACATATGATTTGTTTTTATTATATAACAACGCTAGTTGCACTAAGGGAATTTAAAACTATATCATTATTTAATATTACATGAACCAATATAATTCAGTATACTATCAGCAACTGAATTTGAAGGTTCAGTTCTTTTCTTAAGCGATTTGAAATTTCATTCAAGTGTTATTAATTTTTTTCACTTAAGCTAATGAACCTGTTTAAGCGGATTGGAGCTTAAGTGAGTGATGCATGTTTGGATTGCAAGAGGAAAAGCTGGAAGGACCATCAAATTCTCGCTTAAGTGTACACAATCATGCTTAAGCAATTTCATGATGCGCTTAAGCGACCCAGTAACGGCTTAATTGAAAAATGGATAGAAAATATATCTTCCAAAATTACAAAGAGAACATATCTTTCAAAATTACAAAGTCGCTTAAGCAATGATGTTTTAGCTTAAGTGAGTTAATTTTAACTTAAATGAAAAATGAATAAAGAGAATACATTTTCATAAAATAGCTTAAGTGAATTCAAAATGGTTTAAGTTAAAATTTAGTTTCTTAACTGTATATATTTTGACTTAAGCGAAAAGTAGACAGAGATTAATGTTGATTATTTTGTGCAAAAAACTTAAGCAAATTTAAAATGATTTAAGCTAAATTTGTCACTTAAGCGTGTATATTTTTGCTTAAGCTAAAAATAGATAGAGACTAATGTTGATCATTTTGTGTCAAAAGGCAGAAGTGAGGTGTTGTTAGCATAAGCGATTAAGGAGTGCTTAAGCGAGTAAATAGAAAAAATAAGTTAGATTAACAGAGATGGCTACACCAATTAAATAAACAATATACATTAATAACTTTTATATTTGTTTTTGACAAGAGATAGCAAAGTGAAAATATGCAATAGTTAATTAAGGTAATTTGTTGGATAAATTTAGTAAATAAGTCAAACAAATTATAAAAAAGAATAAAATTGAAAGGAATTTAGATATTTATAATTAAAATGTAAATTGCATAATTAAGTTGCAATTAACTAAATAGGTGCTTGAAACTCTACAATGTCAACTAACTCTAAATATGAACTCAAATCTAAACTTAAAAGAAAAACAATAAAAAAAAACTAGTGTTAATGCATCTTCTTGAGTGACATCATCATGAGTTGGTTGATCCTCCTCCATGTGGTATCCTTCCCATCATCACCTTCATGATCAAGTTGTGCTTCTCCTTCTTTTGCTTCCCCTTCTTCTGCTTACCTTTCTTCTATTCCACCTTCTTTTATGAGCTGCTTTATGTTGATATTCATTGGGTTCTGAAAAGGAAGGCGTGTCTCCAGGCCATTACACTACAGCTGCAAAATCCTTTGGGGTAGGCCATAGAAATGTTGAAGTCTCTCTTGCATGTTGGTATAGGGTAAAGTGATAGAAAGATTCATTGGGGTTGGTGTAAACTCAATGATTTGTCGTTATTTGGTAGTGTATGTATGTATAAGCCTGATTATTGGTTTCTATTTGTTCCTGTATTTGGATCAGATGTTGTGTTATGCGACATTCCATAGATAACATGTTAGGGATGAATGGTGGTGCTGATGAAGAAAGATAAAAAGCTATTTGTAGTTGTGAGTACTCTAATGGTTAATGTAATAGTTGTTTATGAACTGAGCATTATAGGCTTTTTCAACTTGATGTTTGGTCTTGGATTCTTTGGTATCTGAACGCCTTGGGCAGTACATAGAGCAATGCTTAATGCTGGAAAACCTAAGGGCTTTGTTGCAAATGCAGTGAGGGAGCTGGTGGACATGACAAACTGGTGAATCTCCTCAAAGATCACAGTTGCAATATACATTGTGATCCTCTTCGTAATGCTGAAGATGAAGTAGGCCTAAGGCATGCGAAGATTCAATGTGTGAGTGGTTGGAGTGATGATTGCAAAGAGAAATAATGTTATATATGAGCCATTGTCTTCAAACTCCCTTTTGAACCTCATTAGCTTGCCTCTGTTTCATAAGATTTGTTTGAAATGCATATGGACTTAGCTACATCATCATCCACAAATCTTGTGGTATTGTGTCTCCTCTGCTAGTAATGGCACAACTCTCCTCCTTTTAAGGTCCCAACAGTGCACTGATAGCATCCTTGCTATAGGAGATTGAGATCTTTCTAGCTGAAGACTTCTTTTCATATTTGTCTAGTTGCAAGGGCCATGTATTGACATAAAACTCCTTCACCATGTCTTCATTAATTCTATTTGGTAGGTTAGCCAATAAATTCCATTTTCTCCTATTGATTTCTTCAGCAAATTGGGTAAATTTCCTTTATTCCAAAATTACTTTCCTTTCAGGCATAAATTCCCTTTGGTGTAATTCTAGGTATCTTTGAAATTTGCCTCGACTGAAGAACCTGCTTCTATAAAAAGTGGCTTGTTGAGTGGGGCTGGTCTGTGTCAAAGGTTGATCTTCTTGAGTCCTTCTGTCTTGTAGATTTTCAAAAGTCACTCTAACATCTGAACGTTGCTTCTTTCTTTAAGGAATAGGTTTTTATGAAATCATTTCTACAAAAAAACAAAATTAAATACTTAGAAATAATATTTGATACACAACCATAAAACTATAAACTACAGAAAAGCTTTATGAAGATTGATGTGATTAATAGATACAAGGTAAGTAAAACAATTATAGCAAAAAATGACTAATACATATAATATACAAGCAAAATTACATTAAAGTTTTAAATCGCTTAATTCAATATATTTCGCTTAAGTGAATTTAACGCACTTAAGCTTCTTCTTCTTCTTTTTTTTTTTTTTTTTTTTTTTTTTTTTTTTTTTTTACAGAGACAAGGTTTCCATAAAATACATCACCAAAAGTTGTTTGGAATGCACAATCCTAAGGACCACACCATTTATATTCTTGCCCTATGCCTTTCTAACATATTAACCTTAAACCCTTATGCATTAATCCCTAACTGTAACCCTTATGCATTAATCTCTAACTGTAACCCTAGTGGGCATCCTTAACCTCAAACTAAGCACAACAATTATCTAAATAAAGAGTGAGTACCTGGTAATTAGGGTGAGTTTTATGAAGCAAAGAAATACTACAATAGGAGAGAGTTTCAAAACTGATGTATGAGAGTTTGTTTAGGGTTTTTGGAGATTTCAAAAGTTAGAGATGAAATAAAATGATATTTGTTCTTTAAAATTGGGTTGTGTCGATATAATTGCTTAAGTGAATATTCTTTGCTTAAGCAATTTTTTAAATTTGTGGAAGTAAAGTTTTCTTGTCACTCGCTTAAGTGTTAAAGTATTTTCTTAAGCATCGTTTCTTTGCTTAAAAATTACAATATTAGCTTAAACAAAAATGGTTCGCTTAAGCATTTTTATCGTCATTTTGGCATAAATTCTTGGGTAATGAAGAATATATGTTATATGGTAAAAATGTGCTTATCTTTTTGTTTTGTTTGAAAACATGACTACAATAAGTGTGGAATAAAAGCCAAGATTTAGGTTAGAGTTTGATAGTGTAGAACAAGTATGAGATTTGTGGACTGAATATGGTAAAAGGACATGATTTGGAGTTAGAAAGTAGTATTTTAATAAGAGAAAGAAAGATGGTGATATCATTTCTTGTAGATACGTTTGTTGTAAAGAGAGCCTTCGAAAGGGAAAGAAACAAAATTCACAAATTGCTAAACATAGAGTTAAGACAAGAATGAACTGTTATGTGAGAATTGGAGTGTCTTTAGAGAGAATGAAAAATTTGTAATTCATGAGTTTGTAGAAAATCATAACCATTTCTTACAACTTGAAGAGCAACTCACATCCTTACTTCTCATAGTAAGATAGGTTAAGTTCAGGCTTAAGAGTTTTAGATGGCTTAAGAATCTGATTTGCAACAAAAGTCCTCATTTTAACTCTAAAGCATACTTGCAGGCCATAGAGCTAATGTTTGATATACTAGGTTGGATGTAAAGAATTACTTAAAGGCAAGAAGGCAAAGAAGTTTGGTTTATGGAGAAGTCGATTGTGTGATGCAATATTTTTAGCAACACTTGTTAGAGAATCCATCATTTTTTCATGCATATGAGATGAATGCTAATGAACAAATTGCAAATGTATTTTGGGCTGACGTGAAGATGGTTTTAGACTATGTATATTTTGGTGAAGTAGTTTCTTTGAACACTAGATATTACACTAATCACGCAAATAGGCTTCTTGCATTATTCACAAGTTTTAACCATTATATAAGTGTTGTGATATTTGGTAGAACTTTGTTGTATGATGAAACGACTAATTCTTTTAAATGGTTGTTCGAGACATTCTTAGAAGCAAACAAGCATAAAAAAACTATTAATTATGTTTACTAACCAAGATCAAGCCATGACTAAAGCCCTTTTAGAAGTCAGCCTGAAACACATTATGCCTTGTGCACATGACATTTGATGCAAAATAAGATCAAACACCTCGGTAATTTAATGAAGGGTGAAAGTCATTTTTAAGAGACTTCAAAAAATGCATGTATGACTTTGATAACTTGAGTGACTTTAAGGAATCTTGGACCAACATCGTTTAGGAGTACAATGTCCATGACAATAATTGGATGAACTCACTTTATGTCATAAAGGAAAATAGGCATAATGTTACATGAAAGTTGTCACACTTGGGATGTAGAGTACTTAACTAAGTGAAATTTTAAATTATAATTTCAAAACTTGTATAAAACCCAGTGT